CCTTTGTCTATCACTCTCTCCTCACTTTTTTGTCTCTACACTTTTCTCTAAGCATGTAAAGCCTTACACAAATAACTTATTTATAGATTCCACGAAATAGTAACTTTTTCAAAATCAATTTGAGACACTTACCTAACAATCTCCATTTTGACTCAAATTCTCTCAACTCATACATATGTGTATCCAATCTTGAAACTTGTCATCACACCGGCAATGCAAATTTCAACAAGAATAAACATGTATCAAGTTCAAATTCTCATCAAACTTGACACGAGAAACTGTCTTTTTCTTCTTCAAAGTATCTTTACTGCTATAAGTCTTCACCATCTTGTCTTTATCATCTTCAACTGTTATCATCTTGTTGCACTCTTTTACTCCTGCAACTTCTTTCACAATAGAAGAAAATTCATTGTGGCTTAGCTCCACCTACAACTGTAGTCCCAATTAGTTTATACAAGTTTTTCACTTTTTCATTATTCATGACAAATCACCTCTCTTGACTTGCATAAAACCACCCTTCATATAATACTCACAACCCAAAGTGTCTAAAGCCCCCCAAAGAAATCAAACTTCTCCTTAGTTGAGGAACATACCAAATATTTTTCAATTTCATCACAACTCCATCGAACATCTTCACATTCACAGTACATATTCCAACAGCTTTAATACTATAATCATTGGCCATCAACAAAGTACCGGCATCACAGGACTTATAAGAATCAAACCACTTTTTATGTGGACACATATGAAACGAGCATCCATAATCCAAGATCCAAGAGTCATAAATATTTTCATCAATAATAACATAATAAACATCATCTTCACTATCATACTTGTCGCCAACAACAGTTGCAGAATCTGAAGTCTCCTGGGGTTTTTGCTTTCTCTTTTCTTCAAGGGGCTTCGTTAATTCTTTATAATTTCTCCCAACATGGCATTTATTATGACAATAATTGCACTCAATATTCTTCTTTGGACTGGATTGAGAACGATTATTTCTTTTATCATAACATCTACCTCGCGACTTGCTCCTACCCACTCTTGTTGGGGAAAAAAATACACCCCTACACTCATGTAGCAGCAAAATAAACTGAAACAAAAATAATAGAAAAATAGAGAAGACAAAGATTTAGGTGGTTCGGAAAAATTGCCTACGTCCACAAAAGAGGGAGAAAAATTTATTAACAGTTTTAAAATTACATTTATAGAACTTTCTCACTCTCTCTACCAAAAACGCCTTACACCATTATTTATCTATCTCATTCAAAAGGAGACACTTTTTCTCTACACTTTTCTCTGAGCACACAAAATCTTACATAAAATATTTATTTATAGACTCCTAATAATTTTTACTTAAAAACAGAAAACAGTGACTTACTAAAAAAAACACGAAATAGTAATTTTTTTCAAAACTTATTTAAGGCATTTACCTAACATATTGGCCATCAACAAAGTACCAGCATCACAGGACTTATAAGAATCAAACCACTTTTTATGTGGACACATATGAAACGAGCATCCATAATTCAAGATCCAAGAGTCATAAATAATTTCATCAGCAATAACAAAATAAACATCATCTTCACTATCATACCTGTCACCAGCAACATTTGCAGAATCTGAAGTCTCCTGGGGTTCTTACTTTCTCTTTTCTTCAAGGGGCTTCGTTAATTCTTTATAATTTCTCCTAACATGCCATTTATTATGACAATAATAGCACTCAATATTCTTCTTTGGACTGGATTGAGAACAATTATTTCTTTTATCATAACATCTACCTCGCGATTTGCTCCTACCTACTCTTGTTGGGGAAAAAAATACACCCCTACACTCATGTAGTAGCAAAATAAACTGAAAAAAAATAACAGAAAAATAGAGAAGACAAAGATTTAAGTAGTTCAAAAAAATTGCATACGTCCACAAAAGAGGAAGAAAAATTTACTAACAGTTTTAAAATTACACACTTATACAACTTTCTCATTTTCTCTCTACCAAAAACGCCTTACACCAATATCTATCTCTCTCATTCAAAAGGAGACTTTTTCTCTGCATTTTTTTTTAGCACACAAGGTTTTACATAAAATATTTATTTATAGACTCTTAATAATTTTTACTTAAAAACAGAAAACAGTAATTTACAAAAAATACACGAAATAGTAATTTTTTTCAAAACTTATTTAAGGCATTTACCTAACATCACGTGTCATGTAATGTTGAGAATTATCTGGGAACAACTTTAAAGTGGTCTAACAGTCAAAAGTTTATTCTTATTTGTTTAGTAGAATTATAACATGTTGTTGTATCCCATTTCAACAATTTTCAAGTTTCCAGAACGCTTCAAAGTAGTTGAACTGAAAGCAAAGCAAGACGAAAGCTCAAGGGAAGCTACGTATCGAACTAGCGTTGAAGGCTATATAGTAGGTTTTTTCTTTTTTATTTTTTGCCCTTTATATAAGCAATCATTTTATTTAGTTGAAAGGTGATTTATTTTAGAGCGCTGATTAGTGGGTTAATCTTTGTTTATTCCTTAAATTTATTTTTTATTTTTTTGTCCTGAAAGAAGGCCTGGTTTTAAGTGAAAGTGTGAAACAAGAGAATCTTGAAGAGGAAAGTCGCACCCTCGTCAGAATTGTGGGAGTGGGATTTGTTGACCAAAAAACGAGAGGTTTCTACTTCTCATTCCAGATTCCACTTCTTCAAATCCTACTATTCGGTGTTGGAAAAAGAACCGCCACCTCCCACTTCCCAGTACCGTCCAAATTCCCATCATAGGCACCAAAAAAAAAAAAAAAAAGAAAAAAAACAGAGAGAGAGAGAGAGAACACACACACCCAAACGAGTTGTCACATATTCAAAACTATGGTTTCGGCTTCTAAAATTTCCACCATACAGACAAGCACACAAGTTTTCATCGCAACCACCGAATGGTAAGCCTAACTATATTAGGCTTATTCCTAAGTTTTTAGCTTGTTCATTTACACATAAATTTAAAAACACAAAATTTGAATTCAAATTATAATTTTATTTAAGTTCGTGTTCTTTTATAAAAATTGAGTTTAAACTTGAGTTTTAAAATTTGAGTTCAAGTTCTCCTTTCAACTCAAGTTTCTAAACTCAAATTTAAGTTAATGAATAATATTTTTTCTATTATTAAAAACGTCATAATATTTTCGTGTTAATTCTGATTGAGATGATTTTTTTCTATGCATTCACAACAAAAAGACAAATAAAACTCATATACCCTATTAAAATTTTCCATCATCATTAAGTTATTATTAAAATACTATCCAAATATAAATTCAAATTTTGACCCACCTAAACATAAACTCAAATAGATTCTCAATTCAAACAATAACTCAAAATGTGTACATCCAAACACAAACTCAAATTATAGTCCCAACTCAAACTATACTCAAATACACCTTAACTCAAATCGAGATCTCAAGTTTCTAAACTCAAACTCAAGTTAATGAACAATAATTTTTTTCTTAAAAACGCCATAATTTTTCGTGTTAATTCCGATTGAGACGATTTTTTTTCTATGCGTTCACAACAAAAAGACGAATAAAACCCTACCCATATACCATATTAAAATTTTTCATCACCATTGAGTTATTATTAAAATACTATCCAAATTTAAATTTTGACGCACCTAAAAATAAACTCAAATAGATTCTCAATTCAAACTATAATTTAAAATGTGTACATCCAAACACAAATTCAAATTAGAGTCTCAACTCAAACTATCATCAGATAAAAATTGTCAATTTCAAACCTCGTAGACAGTGTTTGATACTATTTTGAGGTTAGGAACTTAATATTTTTTTGCTTAGACTTTAGTAAGATTGAAATAATACGTTTTGTCTTTTGATACATGGACATCATCGTTCTGTTTGTTCAGAACAAAAAGAAAAACATCTAGGGAATTTTTTATATGTCGGCGATTCCTATTATTAATTTTTTTTTTTAAATTACAAAACTTACTTTTAAAAAATTACATAAATCTAAATTTTTATCAAAAAAATTACAAAACTTACTTTTAAAAAATTACATAAATCTAAATTTTTATCATATACTCTTAATTAATATCATATTGATTGAAAAGAATATTAATCAAAAGTAAAAAGAAAAAAATATCAAAGCCTATACAGAGTATTTGTCTCATTTTTTAGATTTTTAACCAATTACATTTCCGCAAATTAAATCATTTTTTTCACACGATTTCTGATCGACTAAAAAACCATTACATTTGCAACACGACGTTATCTCGTTGTTGTGGAAATGTGGAGTAGAATTGTTTTGCCCAATGAATCCTTCTCGTCAAGCGGGCAAATTTAAAGGCCATACCTTTAATATAATAGTCTTTTGGGCTTTGCCTGAAATTTCCAAATTCCAATTCATCAACCATCCTTTTGAAAGGTACCAGAGTCCAATCTCATCGGTAACAATGTCCATCAGAATTGAAACCAGCAATCGCTCTAGAAACATCACCGGACAGAATCTGGTCCATCCTTTAAAAGCATATAGGTGTTTGACCTACTAGAAGTTACTTGAAATTTATACAGGGTCAATTGGTCATGTCGGATTGATCATCTGTCAGCGGCAAAACGTGGCAGAACTTCCATTTATCCGATGCTAAACAACACTACTAATAAAAGATGGACCTTGTCTATGAGTCTCATCTCCTACTGTGAGACCCACATTCTATTAGTATGTGGTGCTATTATCGATGTCATATCTAACAAATAATGAAACACAACCACACATACTTGGTAATCGTCTCCAAACATTTCAACATATGCACGGCGGAATAGCTTGAATTCGCAAAAATCCTGCATGAGATGAGATATTACCTGTCATGGGCAGCAATGAATTTGTAGGTTTGACAAAATCCTCACCCCAGCGGTATATGCTTTCCTTGAACTTCTTCCCCTTCAATTGTTCTTCCATCACAGTTTATGAAGAAAAAAAGAATTTCCAAAGGGCCAAAACAAAGTGGGGAAAAAAACACAAACATGAATGATTCATTGCATGGAGGTCATCAACCTATAGGAGGGTGGCCTCTTCCAAGAGGTCTATCAAAGTTTAAAAACAATAAGATAAGTTACAAGAGTATCTTTATCAGATTTCAAAAGTAGAAGTTTGATAGCAGTTCCAGAAAAGACAGTCTTAATTTACAAACGCTATATGTACCCAGTAGCTATAAATCCCTCTGCCGCAGATTTAAGGAGTCCTATAAGCAGGCAGCCAGCTCTATGCTCGTAAGCAAATCCACAAGCATTTTGTCCGGAACATGGGTCGGTTAGCCATTTTCATTTTAGCTCCTGCTATAGCATGCTGGTGCCAGAATTATCCCTGGATTTGAGGTCCTCGCTCTCGCAATCTTCTCCTGCTTTGGTGTCAGACCTGAGAATAAAGACCAAGAATAGATATTCATTCAATTTTTCTTGAATGTATGTTATAGATAAATTAACAAAGATCACAAAGTCCACCATTGATCTTATATAGTATCCGTATCATACACTATCTGTCGAACAAATTGTCCTCGAATTCGAGGCCTCTGTTCAGCCAACTTTTTCCTGCTATGGTATCGAACCTGAAGAAGAAAGAAACAAAAAGCAATTGTTGGCTTGTCATCTGTTTGAGAAATACTCATTGGAAGGATGCATGTTAAAATTTGTAAGCATCTCAATTTAGAAAAACCAGTTGGATGAAAAGCCTTCATGAGTCTCCGTATCATTTGGTTTCTGTAATATCATTAAACACTGAAATGATTCTACAATCTATGATACAAAAGATGTATAAAAATGACAGCCAGGAGTACAAGGGACACAACCTCGGAGAGCTGAATCATTTCAAAGGCTACTCCACATATGAATTTGGTTTTTCTTGGCATCACGCATTTACTTATTTCAACAAATTAGATTGATGAGTTTCCCGTGATCAGTGGGAAATGTCTGTCTTGCTAAAACGGTCAAGCAAACCTTCACTAAAGGCAAACAAGTGCTAGCAGAAGAATGCATACAAAGAGAACTTACCCTCTTTTCAAAGCATCTTTCTTTTCTTTTCTGACGGAATTTGGTCAACGCAGCCTCTCTCTGAGCAACCCGATTTTCATCTACCCCAATCCCACTATTCCTCCTGCTGATGCCATCTCCACCACTGTTTCCAATTACTCCATTGTCACTTTCCACATTTGTCAGTCCAGCATTCAAGGCAGTACTACTTCCATTCTGTCCATTGCTCCCATGATTACTACCGGAAGCACTCCCATTCACACTGTAGTTTCTGGTGTGACTCTCAACAGGCCCCCCAAACACATTTGAGGATCCACATTGCTGAGCAGATGCAGCCATATTCTTCAATGAGAGATCATCATGTTCTGCCTGCAGCATATGCTGCTGCAAATTGTGGACGTGATGGTGATAATGATGGTGGTGATGATGATGGTGCTGGACTTGGACCTGTTTGTAAGAGCCTTTCGCCGGTGCTTGAACTGGATCAACTTCTCCATCATCAGTCTTTCCCAAAGGCACCTGTGGAGCTAAACAAATACAACCACTCTGCACAGGCTGGAAGGCGGAAGAATGAGAAGATTTGAATCCTGATGTCGACTCTGGCTTGTCATTGAAAGCTTCAGGCTTGGGGGCAACATATTTGTTGGTGGATGCCAGGTCATTGTTGTTGCTACTGCCATTAGATTGCTGATTGGGAGGAGTGCTATTTGAATGAGATGGAAAATTGTGTCCTGTATTTGGCGCAACTGAGCTAGAACCAAAAGGAGAACAGCTTCCTACATTTCCAGTGGGATCCTGTTAAGGAGCAGAATAATATTAGACAGTCAAAGTAGGAAATTAATTTTACTTCTTCTCTGACAGGATCTGGCGATCTGTGTGCCAACCACTGAAGAGAAACATTGTAAAACTCGCCATAAAGTCAGTTTAGAAGAGGGAATGACTAAATTATTTATCTTTTTTAGTCAATTATGAACGCAATCCATTCAGATCCCAATGTGCTGCATGGTGATTGGAAGCAGACAAATTAAAGACATTTCACCACTTATTGCAGGCACCTCGACAATGTCTGAGGTGCAATGGCACATTACCTGATTCGCGGAAGATGGAGTATTGTATCTGTAAAAGGAACGGAAAGAATAACATGTTATACTCAAACTTTGATTGTTAACAACACAAGACAAGGATATTTATCTCCAAAAAGTTTCCCCTCTTACTTTGAAAAAGCTGATAGATCTGAATGTCTCAAAACATTGCAGTCATCTAATGTAGCACTTCCAACATCTCCTGATCCTCTCAGCCTCTTTAAAGTCAGTTCAAGAGATGGCAGTTCTCCAGAATCAGAGTTTCCCTTGATTTGCAACCCATCAGAGGTGCCACTTGGAGTGCCAAAGATTCTGCCTTCACATTGTGGTTTGTTACAATTTACATTTGGACTACTGTATAGATTCTCGCCATTGTGATCCACCTCTCTTTGCTGACTATCTACCTCAGGCAGTTTATTCTGCCTTTTGCTTGTTGAAGGGAATGATAACTTCTGTTGATATTCACATTGTAAATCTGGTTTTCCATTTACTCCAACTTCCACGTCTTTACTAACTGCAACATTATTATAAAACAATTAGCAGATAACGGTCTTTAATTAATGAAATGTGGGAAGTAAACTCCAACAAGTTAAACAAGATAATTTTCATTTGGCCATACCGAATTGCTTGCCTAGTTCCTGGCACTCTTTTGTTTCAGTAGAGTGCACCCACCTATTGCTACATTTTTCAGGCTTAGTATGTATAACTTGTGCGCAGGTGCTATCAGGAGTGTCAGCCCATTGACCACCAGGAGACATAGGAGTGGGGCTGTGAACTTCGGCTGCCCTTGAGTTCTAATTAAAATATGCTTCATATGGTTATTCCAGTTTTAAGATTTTGAAACTACATGGTATACAGTTAGCAATGATATTCAAGTCATACCATAGACTTCAACGACAAAAGAAATAACTAGCGGCACGATCTATAAAAGGCAATATAATGGAAGTTACAGTTAGAATGTAGTTTAAAATGATTGATTGGATCATTGGATGGTATCATCAAATTGTTAGTGCCGTGCCAATGTACTGGTATGTATGAGAGAAGCCCAGCTCTAGAGAAATAATGTTGACCATCACAAATTTAACTTTGATGTACCTGTTTCAAAATTAATTAAAAGCGGATCCTCTCAAACATATTTGCTACTAGAAACGCATCAAAGAATTCATAATTAAAGCCTGCTAATTACCTGGGTACCACTTCCATGATCACTTCCACCCCGGATACACAGACCAGTACTCCCATTATCTTGACTTTGCTCCTCACTGCTGGCAGAATTGTTGTCAGACTCATCATTGCTTTTCGACTTTGCATATTTTCTGGTCTGAGTCCCACTTTCACTGCCACTACCACTAGACTGCAAAGACATGAGAAATTAATCCAAGTTGAGGGGCAAAAATCAGCACTTGTGTTCCAAAGTCAACTGAATTAATATATAAATTCATAACAAGATAATACATAACGCAAGACTACTTTTTTTTAGTCAAATCTGCTGCTATAACAGGACAACAATCTTGAAGATTCAATGGTAACAGTGCATTAGTTATTTTAATTAAAGGACAAACACCCTTCAAAGCTCAAACAATTCAAATGCATATTTCAAGCTTGAAACTGGTATTGCCTCAGGTGAACTATGAATCTAACGAGGAAATATATAGCAACTTACGCTGTGGCATCTTCTCCAAACATGCTGCCATAGGTTTTTAAGTTCATTCTTCCGAATAGGTTTCACTAAAAAGTCAACTGCGCCCTTTGACAAACACTTAAACACGATTCCCATAGAATCATGGGATGACATCACTGCATGCACAGCTCATTATAAGTGGTAACAAAAACACCACACAGAAGTAAATCATGGGAACAAGAACCTCGTATGCCAAAAATCAAATACAAAGTTGTTAGGAACAGCACTTACTGATCACTGGAATATTCTTTAGAGACTTGTGGCTCATAATTTTGCATAAAAGAGCGATTCCAGATAAAACAGGCATGACTACCTCAGTTAGGACTATGTCAGTATGATTATTTGGATCTTCTAAGATTTTCCATGCTTGAAGGCCATTAGAAACTACATTAACTGGCAAAAAAATCATGCAAAAAATGTAATGAGTTCAAAAGTTTAACATCATGGGGCACCGTATCAATTTCTTGTTCAGTCATATACAAAAAAGGTCTCCATCAACAATTATCTCCTTAGGCCTAAAGCAGCACCCAAAAGCTTAATATATTACAGAAACTGTCACGATTGAGACTTCTCATACAGCAGGATACAACCCACAACTAAAACTTGAAGGAGAATCAAATTAGCATTCCAATAAGTAGCTATTTGGCTTTCTTAATGCTCTGCAGTAATGGGTTTCAATCAACTATTACTACATCAAAATAAATTAAAAGAAAAAAAAAAGGATAAAAAGCACACCTTACGGAGTTCATTATACTCTTTTGAAATGCATGAAAAATGGAAGGCTCGCACTAATGAGTTACATATTATTTAGAGGACCATGATCACTAGGCATCCAAAAAACATTCAGACATGCCAAGTTTTACTTGTTTATTTAACAATAGATGACTCTTGAGTTTCGACAAAAACTGAACTACAAACCTTCATAGCTGCAATTTCGAAGTAAAGCGCTAACGACATGGCGTGTAGAATCATCATTTTCCACTAGCAAAACTTTCAAAGATCTGATGGGGAGAAACCTTTCCCAACACACCACAGGTCCTTGAGGCAGCGATTGCAGTACAGCAGACCCATCAGCGACCTGAATCGCTCCTCTAAGCCCATTACTCACATCTTGACTGATATTTATTCTCGACTCATCTTCCTCCGGTGTCCCCAAACGTTGCTCTTCATCCACTACCCCGTTACTAACTTCCTTTTGCTCAAAACACATATGGTTGTTCTGACAAGCAAAAACTCTTGGACTGAAAAAATACCCACCAACCAGATTCAAAAAGGCTAATGATGCGGAACGCACATGATTGCACACAAGAGACACTCTTATTCAATCTACAAATAGACGTACATATTATTCTCTCAAAATATCAACCTCTGCCAACGCAGTCCATTTTACCCAATAAGTGTCAAAACCCAACATTGTACTATAAAGCAGGACTCCATAAGAAAAACAAAAACATCCACCAACACTAAGAACAGAAAGTATCTATATCTATATTTTTGTATATAGATATATACAGTAAAAATTTCAACAGAAGGCGTTTATGATTCTCAATTCTCATATCTCAGGAAAAAAAAAAGCAAAAAATAGAGTCAAAGCAGAACCAGGATCCAAGTAAAATAATCTCAGATCATCATAATCCAGATAAACAAATTAAACCCCACATCTGAGCTAGTTAGACCATGTATAACCCTGTATCTTTGTGAATCGTAGACCATCAACAAATAATGATCTGAATCGAAAAGTTAAAAAAAAAATTCTAACATATATCAACCCAAGATTCATATATAGAAACCTAATACTCTGTCCGGTTCCTTACAAAACAGAGAAAACATAGAAAATCAGACATTAAAATAAGCTCCTAAATCAATAACAGCAAATACGGCAAGCATAAGAAGTAAAGTAACTACTTTCAATACCAAAAACCTAAGAAATCCTAATATTTTTATATTTTCCGAAGAAGATAAACAGAGCAACTAAGATTTAAAGACAAATTTACTGGAGCAGATAAAATCAAAATTGAAGGAACAAAAGTAATATATTCAATTCAAAAAATTAATAAAAAATGAAAAGAAAGAAGACCTTCAAGGCTTCTCTGACCAGGACGTGACCGCCATTGTTAAGCTCGATTTCAGCCGGACCAACAAAAAGGAGATAAAACAAACAAACAAAAAAGATCAGAACAAGAAGCTAGTTTCAAAGAAAAAAATCTCAAAGATGCATGATTGAGAAAGAAACTGCAAAAGGGAGTTTCAAAATAGTTCTCAGGTTTTTTCCATTTCTGTAGAGGAATAAAAATTACAAAATGTAAATAATGCTTTTGAGAAAGAAAGAGGCTTTACTGGTTAAGAAAATGCTAAACTAAACAAGAGGGGAGAGAGAGAGAGAGAGAGCGAGAGAGAGGAGAGAGAGAGTTTGAAGAGGGTGGGCCGGAGAAGATATTATTCGCGGTGATGACCTGTCACAAATGGAGGTCTGGAGACGCTCCAAAATTCCACGTAAAATAAATGAGTGATGCTGCAATCCTACGTGGACATAATCGCGGCCATTGGTTTGTCTGAGCTGGACAAAATCTAAAGCTGCAAGGTCCGAGAGCGATTTTGAATCCTTCAGATCTCGGGGCGAACACGTGGCACGACTCACGCGCTATTGAAAGGCTTTCATTTGTGATTTGAGTGTCCCGGGGACGCGCCGGAAACCCTAAGGAAATAGACGGCGCCGTTTTGAGGTTGGGTTTTTGTCGCCTTTTCTGACTTTTGCCTCGTGTCACGATCTTAATGGGCATGGAACGTGCGAAGGCCTTATCCGAATTTTTAATATTATATTCCTTTCTGTCCTTTTTCTTTTTCTTTTTTCGGTTATTGAATCTTATCCGCTTTTTTGGCCGGCCGCTTCATTTTTCCTAAGTTTAATGTGGAATCGAAAATGAAGATTTTGAACTTTTTTTTGTGTCTCCTAGTTTAGTTTATGAATTTAAAATTATAATTTAAAATTATTTAAAATTTATATGTATTTTTTATAAAAAAAATATTATAATAAATTATGAATTATAATTTAAATTATGATATAAATTTACTAATTAAACACACATATAAAGATTCTTATCTCATTTCAGGCTTTGGAAATGTTGATAATATTCTTTTGCTACTTTTGTCTAAAATTTATGACCCTACAGGAATGTCCATGTTTCTTTCTCTTTTGACCCAAAAGTTTATAGCACATAAAATAGAGCACTATTGCTTGTCAACGTTTGATAAAATTTGAATTAGTACATTCAAAACGTAAACATTATTTATAAATTTTAATTTCACATTGCTGTCCTGTGCTTTGTGGGGTTTAGCTGTTAGGTTTTTTTTTTTTTTTTTTTTTTTTTTTAATCGAACTGTGAGAGTGTGTTCTGGCTCCATAAAAGATTCATTTGCTTCTCTAAAAGTTTCAAAATAATAGTTCAAGAAGCAATTTTGTTGAAGTTAATTTTTGTTCTCAATTCTTCGATTTTCCTACCAAAGGGATGGGAATGCAGTGCACACTTTCTAATTATTAATTTTGATTATTTATTTAATGTTGGTGAATTTTACTGTGTTAAGATTTTATATAATTATCATTTTTTTTTTATTTTTAGCACACGCGATGTTCTTATTCAATTGTAATAATTAACAACATAACAACTACAATTTGGTAAAATACAGAGATTTATATAACAAATAATTTGTAATAATACAAGACTATCATTTGTCTTCCCAATCAAAGGTTTTGATTTAATTAAAGCACAAATGTCGATGTTATTCTGAAATAAAACAATTAGTAGATGATGTTTCACTAAGGCTCCGTTCATTTTACTGCTTCGAGTTTAGAATTCGAATTTTGTTACAGTAAAAAGTTCTCAGAAACAGTCACATCTAACTTTTTTACTACAGTAAAAAACTCTCACACAACATCACATCTCAACTCAAATTAAAAACTTGAATTAGCGAACCGCACGGGCCCTTAATATCGAGACATTCACAAAGAATATCAAATAAATATGCATTAAATTGTAATACTCAAAAACAAGAGGTTATATGTGCAAAGAGTAGAAAATATAGGGAGATTTTCGTAATTAAATCCAAAAATAAAATAACGTCCTTGTTCTTCCAGCAACTATGAAACGACGTCGTTAAGGACAAACACAATTGGATTCGGCAATGTTCCACGCGCAAGCCGAGGACTCTACAAACCCGTGTCCCCATACCATAATCGAGATTGTTGGAGCAGAGAGAGAGAGAGAGCAATGGCGTCACTGGTGCGATCAGTGGCTTTGAGAGCTCTCAGAAATGGAGGAGGAGGAGGAGGAGGAGAACTTCTCTTCCATACAGCACTAAAAAATATACTCACTTCTCCGCCTCAAACCCTAACCGTGCGAGCATTCTCGGCCACCATGTCGCCGCCGTCGAAGGCCGTCCTCTACGACCAACAAGGTCCTCCCGATTTAGTTACCAGGTCCAATTCTTACTTGATCACCCTCAGAAACTTCTCGAACTTTTCAAAGAAAAAAAGGAAGGAATTTTCGTAATTAATATAATCCTTTGATGTTGTTGTTGTTGTTGTTGTTTGAAGAGTGGTAGAATTGCCGCCGGTAGAAGTCAAGGAGAATGACGTGTGTGTTAGGATGCTCGCTGCTCCTATCAACCCCTCCGATATCAACCGTATTGAAGGTTTTACGTTTCATACCAATTTCTTTCTTTCTTTCTTTCTTTCTTTCTTTCTTTCTTTATGACTTTAATTTCTGCGATAGTAATTTTATTAAGCTAGATAAGCTGCATTAAGCTTTGCCTAATGGAAATTTAAGGTAAAATTCCAAATGTTCAGCAGCTGATTACTTAAGGGAGTCAAAACATGAAAAGTTTAAAGAGCATTTTTGTTTATAATTATTATGTTTTGGCCGGGAAGGATGAAAATGAAAGGGGTCTGTAATATTTGGTAACTGATAATGGCAGGAGTGTATCCTGTGAGGCCAGAAGTGCCGGCGGTCGGAGGATATGAAGGTGTTGGAGAGGTTTACTCGGTCGGCTCTGTAGTTAAGGCTCTCTCGCCTGGTGATTGGGTTATTCCCTCTCCTCCCTCTTTTGGTACTTTCTAGACCTTGCTTAACAATGCTTTTACGTTTTCAAATTTTTACCTGTAAAAACATAAAAAGCCGAAATTGGCAGAGTATTACTAGTTAAAATGTTTGCTTGTTTTATAAGAAAACATTGGCTTAAAAAAATTAAATAAACAGAAAATATAAACGGCATTAAGCAAAGGGTTTATTGATCTTCGGTTGGGACTAGTGAAAATTGGTATTTTAGAAATAGAAAGAAAAGTAGGAATGGGAGTTTCACTTCAAATGTTCCATGAGCGTTACAATTCCCTTTACGCAAAGACAATTTCATATTCACTCAAACGCTACCTCATGATAAACCAAGCTGTCTTGTTGGTCTTTTTTGGTTATTCTGTTTAGGCCTCACAGTAATAGGAAAAAGTCAAGTAGTGGGAAGCAAAAACTTTTTGGTTCTTAGTTTCCATTTTGTACCGCATACAATGCATTGAAGAAATGCCCATGTTAAAAGCAAAGGGCACATGAACATACCGATTTTAACAGTACAAGGTTGTCGATGGCTTGAGTTTTTTTGTCTCACCAGCACTTCAGGGGTTACCGTTTCAAAACATGTTCCTCCAACGGTCTTGTCTCAACCAAACCAAATAGAGAAGAATTTATCATGTGCTTTTGGAAGTCTCTTTTGTTAATAGGCACATAGTTCAAATACAAACATATACCATGTGGTTTGATTGCCCTTTCTAGATAATAATAATTATCTTTTTTCTTAGGGACGTGGCAGACTTACATTGTGAAAGATCAGAGTGTATGGCACAAGATTAATAAGGATTCACCTGTGGAATATGCTGCCACAGCTACTGTTAATCCTTTGACTGCTCTAAGAATGCTTGAAGACTTCGTTCCTCTTAATTCAGGTACTGCCGTTTCTACTACTTGCACATTTTTTCTTCTTACGAATTTACCTTGGTTACTTTGGGTTTTTACTAGGAGATGCTATCGTCCAAAATGGGGCTACAAGTATTGTTGGCCAATGTATCATTCAGATTGCACGAGACTGCGGCATCCATAGTATCAATATTATAAGGGATAGGTGCAATCTGGAATCTTTTGGTTTAAATTTTTTTAGAATTTCTAGTGTTTTTTTTTTTTTCACCCTATACTATTGCAAATGCATACTATGTATTCAAGCACTGAGTCTTTTCAAGAACTTGACTATTTCAACCAAAAGAAAGTTTCTCTTAAAATTATTGGTTTAATCTATCATTTCATTTTTCTTACAGGCCTCGCTCATATGAAGTGAAAGAAAAACTTAGAAAACTTGGTGCTGATGAAGTTTTTACCGAGACCCAATTGGAAGTGAAAAATGTCAAGGGTCTTCTGGTATCATCCTTTCTCTGAAATATCCTCCAATAATGAATAAAATTTTATTGTTTTTTGTGTTCTATTAAAGTTCTTTTCTCACATTAATTTTTGGTTCGACTAATTCTTTTTTTTTTTTTTCTATTATGTTTTTCGCTTACCTACTAGGCTAATATTCCTGAACCTGCATTAGGCTTTAACTGTGTTGGCGGTAATGCTGCATCTTTGGTTCTCAAATTTTTGAGGTACGTGATATCTAATAAAATAGCCTTCAACTGCTCCAAATCCTAGCATATAATTCAAAATAAAAATCCTTATAGCTCAGTCAATTTTTTACTTACAGGCAGGGAGCAACTATGGTAACATATGGTGGCATGTCTAAGAAACCAATTACCGTATCCACTACATCTTTCATTTTTAAGGTAAGCCTCGTATTTCCCCTTCTTGTTATAACAAAAAATGTTAGGTTCTTTGGCTATAGACAATTATGGCGTTTATATTTGACTGCAGAACTAAAAGTAAATTGAAAATTGATTACTGTTGTGTGTGCATTAACATCTAAAACCTTCTCGGACTAAGTTGCACGTTTGGTGGCAAAAGACCGGACATGCCGGTCATTCCCTGTTCAGCAACCAGCTTCCTCATGGTTTCTTCGTGAAAAGTTTTTATGCTTTCTAGCTCCATCTATTAAGTAGTCTTGATTGTCCTGTGTGTCGGTTTTCTTTTTCTCTGTTTGAATGTCCTTCTATATCGGCTTGTGATATTATTCTGGAGTAATATCGTCTGTTTACAGGACCTCTCTTTAAGGGGATTCTGGTTGCAGAAATGGTTAAGTACAGATAAGGCACATGAATGTAGAAAAATGATAGATTACCTCTTGGACCTGGCTCGACAAGGGAAGTTGAGATATGAGTATGCTATCTGATCCTAACTTTTCTTTCTCGTCCTCCTGGTTATACTTCAATCTTTACCGAGTCAAGTTATAGAAAGTATTAAAATGGAGACTTGCATATGCAGAATGGAAATGGTTCCTTTCGACAATTTTCACACTGCACTCAACAAGGCTCTTGGGAAACTAGGAAGCCAACCAAAGCAAGTCATCAGATTCTGATTTAAAAGAACTGGAGGAATATGTTTCAATTGCACTTAACAAGAGTCGACTACTTTGGGACCATTTTTTTTCGCACAAGACCATTCCTAGGTGAGAACCAGTTGCCGCAAAATATGGCCGACTAACAGTTATGCAACTAAGATCACAATGTATTACTGTCCTGACAGGGCTTACTACTGAATGTTGTCAGCAATTTCTTGCATGCAATTTTCTATGTAATCTTTTTTTTTTTTTTTTTTTTTTTTGGTATAATGTATTGTGCATAGGCTCTGTGTTCTCTCTTTTTGCTTACTGATAACACCCTTTAAAATTTTGATTTGCTTTTCATTCGACGTGTTGTATGGCGAAGTGCTATAAGCTAGATCACACGTACTCGTTTACTCCCGTCCCATGCGTGAAAACAGAAAACCGGATGGAAAGTGTAAGTGAAGCGAGCAGAATTTAGAGGCACAACGGAAAGCTCTTCATGGTAAATCAGAACTTTACTCTCAACTTAAATGAAAATTATGAAATTTTTAAAGGTGGATGAATTGAATTTCCGAGCATTAACTTAAATAAAAACAAGGGAGGAAAGTGCAAAACTACGTTTTTTAAACAGACATCTTTCTATTATTGACTTTCTTAATCATAATCATGCTTTTATTATCGATCAATTTAAACAACTTAAAAAAGGGACAATATTGATTTCACATCGAACTGTAAGGGTCAATTTTGAAAAGGATTTCATAAAAATTATGATCCATGAATTCCCAATCAGTTGCGCCAAGAATTGATTCCAGTTTCAATAACGTTCCTGGGTTTCATCTCCGGTGGTTTCAGACGACAATCCCAGTCTTTGCCCCACACTTCCCTTCTTAAATCAATCACCACCTTCACATTCAAAGGGTACTACCAGACTCAAGAGGTGCACTCCTTTCTCAAAATATAGTCCACCGCTTCTTCCACGGTATCAACAACCTGCACAAGTATTTCAAGATTTTGCTTTAGTGAAGACCACGGCAGTATAGTCGAATGTATTCCACAAGGTTTTTTTTTTTTTTTTTTTTTTTTTTTTTTTTTTTTTTTTTTAATGTAAGATCCACAAGGGTGATTTTGCATTCACTAGAAAGTGATTGCAGGTTGCAAAATGCAAACATGTCAATTTGGGATCATTAGCGTAGTTGCTTAGCAATCCCGTTATTGGTTTTTGGAGAAAAGACAGAACAAGAGCCCTTTTATGATTTTGCATCAAGGGATCCCACGGCTGCTAAGATTCTGTATACTATGATCGGATTTCATGAAACCTTACCAGATCAGCTGGAAACTTGGGATGATTTTCTTTTCCCTTGAAAACTCCAGTCCTTGTCAGAATAGAAAACCAAGGATGACCCGCCTGAAATTTAGACATTATTATGCATTTCGTGGTGATCGCACCTAATCTGCTTATATTTTACACTACACAAAGATTATGAAAATCCAGGAGACATACCTTCCGTGCACCGCAGATGTCAACTGAAGGATTATCTCCTATCATATACAGCCTTTTGAGATGGTGGCTTCCAGCATTTGTATGATCAGCAAGATGACTGCTGCGAGGAAGAGATGACACAAGTTGCTCAAGCAAAGTTTCTGCATTCTTGAATACAAGGGGATTTGGTTTCCCATATGACGTGTACTTGAGAGCATGAGGGTAAATTCTGCATTTATAGTTTAAACTAGTGACATTACTGCAAGTACACAAAAAGAGAGAATTAAAGAAAATGCAGGTCCTCCCTCCACAGTTGGCTCAAAATTTTGCTAAAAGAGTTGTCGTCTTCTGATATGATTTTAGTTAAGCCAGACCTCGGCTTAAGTTTGAGAAATATCCAACAATCCAACTCTGAAAAGACATCGTACAATGATTGTATGTTTAGTTGTATATTCTCTGGACTTACCTACTGAAAACGGATTCTAATGCAATTCTGAAAGCTCCCATACCAAAACGCTCAGAAGGAAAGGCGGCCTATCTTTCGGTGACACCTCATCAGTAAATGATCGGTTTTTTTTTTTAATCAACAAGCTTTCAATAGAGACACCAAAAAATAATTTTTCAATAGTATGTTAAGCATACAAAATAGCCAATCCCCAGGGAGAAAGGAACCAACCTGGTAAGTAAGGTCATCATGTGCAAAATACAATGGTGGTTGGTGACCAACTTCCCGACCAGGAAGACCTCCGGTTCTTAATATGTCACAGAGTACCTGGTGCCAACACTCATTCAGTCAATTTTGACTTTGAAGCTTACAATGATACAAAACTATATAAGTTTGAAAGTTCTAACAAGAATAAGGAAGTATGGAAGTCTAAAAGTAATGGATTTGGGACAACTGCAATGTACCATACGCGGGTTCTACATCATTAAATCCTGGATATGGAAAGAAAGTATCACTATAGAACCGTTTTCTCCAAGGAATCACGTCCTCTCTTGTAGCTAGCATACATATTGACCCTTTTTTTTTTTTTTTTGCCTTGTAAGGTGAATTACGAAAACTTTTCCCTCTGCTAAATGTATGGTTTGAGTTCTATAATCAAGAAAACTAGATGTCACACTAACCTGAATGTCCCTGCTCCAGTCAACAGAATCACTAACTATAAAGACTGCTTGAACTCTCTGCGAGCATATCTCATCTCTTATGTCCATCTTTTTCGCACTGCTACTCTGATAGGCAACCTGCTTAGTCGTCCATTTCTTATACGGTAACAATGGGTCAATGTTGTCGAAGCATGATGCATAGTCATCAATTGAAACAACATTTCTGTTCCAAGTACGCAAGCCAATCAGGAGCAACATCTCAGTCACAAACAACACTTTATTGAAATATTCTAACGAAAGCTCAAATCAGTCAAGCCATGATAAGCAGGAAAGAAGCTTACTTAAATCCATATTCAGACATCACTGCAGCAGGTTCTCCTTTCCCCACAGCAACGACAAGTTCATTCTCAAATCTGTAGAATACGAAATTTTAACACCTTCAATCAATAACAAGTGGACAAAGACTTATTATCCACTCAAAAACTGATACTTGGTTACTTATTCAAATTTCTAATAACTAATTATTTTAATTGGATCAGGTCAAGTATTTCTCAATCCTGATGGCTTAAAGGTGCAAATTTAATCAGAACTCAGGTTGGAAAACAATCCACTTGAGAATGGAAACAAACTATGGACCTACATAAGGAAAAACAGAATGATGATTTGTCAAGTTTTCGTTTTATTTAGGCCGGCAACAAAATCAATGCAACAAGTTTGGTAGGGGAATATTGCATCGATTTACAAGTAAACCTGCCTAAAACTGAGCAAGTATAATTCCTCCGTTTGTAACATCTCTAACTTCAAAAAGTCATAAAAATTAAAAAATAAAATAAAAATAAAAATAAGATATCAACAAGTCTTCACTTAGAGAAGGGGTGTGCGTGTACCTGCCTACTAGCTGCTTAAAAGGTGAATGGCCTTGAACAACCTGTACGCAATATGATGAATCAAAAAGAATAATCACCCATCATACCCTTTACCTTGTGAGTTTCATTGTAGAAAACAAACCTTTATTAATAAATTTAAGTGCATAGCCAATAAGTTTTCAACAAACAAAAAGAGAAAACAAAAGTTGACATCCAATAAACAAAGATCACTGAACACTAACAAAGTAAATAATGGAACTCTAAAAATATATCAAGAAAAGGGGTCATATATAATTTAAGATAATGTTAAGGAGTACCTGTGAAGGTGAAATATTTACACCCAAAAGTTCACTTAGCTCCAAGGCTCTTTTAGATTCACGAAAACCGCCTCCTATCAAAGTTTTGTAACACTAGTATTATAAACTCACTATTATTTTTAACAAAAAACTCCCTACTCGAAAAACATATACGCATAATTAAACATTAATTCTAAAAAAAACTAAAATAAAATAAAAAAACACTGATTTCTTCGAGCATTGCAATTTAGAATTCATCATCGCGAAATGCTAACATTACGGTTATCACTCTATGCATTCATTTTGATACGTAGATTCCACTGAATGCAACGAAAAGAAAGAAAGAATAACAGAAAGAGTGATATTGGCATTTCTCTTTTGTTGTCCGATCAACTGAAAAGAAAAAGACTGACCGTTTGTCAGGAATATGTACGGAACCTTCAATGCACCTGCCAGTCCACCAAAGAGCGAAAAGAAAAGAAAAAACCATGAAAAAGAGCCTTCTTTATAAGCAATACATTTCTTTCAATTTTAAGATTTGATTTGAGCGAGTCCAGAGATGCAAATGAAATGATCAGATGAAGTGAAGTTGGGACGGGACCTGAGTCGTCGTACAAGCGTCTGAGGGCTTGCGGAGAGCCTCCGATGGGAACTTCGCTGCGTAAAACGACGCCGTCGATGTCGAAGGCAATACCAGACGAAGGTCTGCTTAAATTAGATCATAAGTAATCAACCAACGACAATTAAACTCTCATCTTATCTTAAACACTGTGATTGCTATTTGCTGGCAAAAGAAGAAAAAAGGAAGGAAAAACATGGAGGAAAGGAAATGCGGACGTACAGTGAGCAGAGGTGAGACGAGAATGATCGTGAGATTGCAGAGAGAATCACTTTGTTTTGGCTCTGCGAAGCCTTCCTCAGGAATTGGAGGAACATGGTGAGGAATGGGATTTTCTTGGGAAAATGGAGAAGCCTGGAATCGGCGCCAGAGCCAAAGTCGGAGTCTGGTAATGGTAAATGGTGACTGGCTGTGAGTGAGTCTGTTAGGTCACTCGCGGGTGACATTAACTGTCGTGGGAATTTGACTAGAAAAACGACATTACGTTTTTTTTCCTTTTTTTTTTTTTTCTTTTACTGCAAGTTTTATAACCTTGTACTTTTTTCCAAGGTTACTGCAAAGTTTTCTTATTCTACGCTGTAAAAATAGTTTATAACTTGATGTTCTTTAGAGCAACTTCAACAAAACTCTCTAAATCTTAGTTAAATTTTAATTAAAATAACTTTTTAATAATTTTTAAATTATACCCTAATTATACTTCTTATTTTATCTAAATATAAATTATTTTAATAATTATCAAATTTAAAATATACATAACTTTATTAAATTAAAAAAAATTTAAAAAAGAACCTCTGTGTATATTAACATTGAAAGAATAACATAATATAAAAATCTCCATGCTTATTTAGTTAGGCCATTTAAAACGGCTTAGAGTTTATTGTCGTTTAAAGGACATCAACAAAAAAAGTACCAGAGGAAGGGAAAACTTCAGATTACTTTGGAGCCAAAAAGGGTCTAAGAGCAAAATGCTTATGCATAAGTTTACTAAAAAATCATCAAAATCTGACCCAACATGCTTATTATGATCATTCTCTCTGTTTTGTTTGCCTATAAGATGATATGTTCGATTTACATATGAAAACACTGCCCCAAGCGACGAAGGCTAGGAGATCACTACCTAGCTAACAACCCTCCACGGGTAAAACAATCTTCTCAACATGAATCCAGAAACTTCCCAACACCATTCTTCATCTTCTCAAAATCTCAATACGAGGGAGAACCTCTCTCCCTATAGAAGAAACTAACATATTGTACATTTATAAACCAAAACCAATCCTTTAATCACTACCTAGCTAACAAACAACAGAAACAAAGTAAGAAGTAAGGACCACCACAGCTGACTGGTCTGACTATTCCAGCATATTATCTGGGTTGAACTTCAACGACTCCCTCCATATTAGCTCCTTTATATCTTCTTCGTTCAAGGATATCTGTTCGAAATCAAAGACGAAAGGAGACGGGCAAGTGGGCTCCTCGTTGATCTCGTGAAGACTTGACAAGTATGGGTGATTCAGTGCTTCCTCAACTTTGCAAACATGAGCAAAGAGATATATATTGTCAGGAAATAATAATGAGAGATTAAATGGTAGATTGCTGTAGTCTTGAGAAATGCTGATGGACGTACCAGTAATGCGTTTGCTTGGATCGAAAACTAACATTTTTTCAGCAAGATCGATTGCCTCAGGAGATACATTCGGGTACTTGGTTGCAAAGGATTGCTTAGGGACACGTGGGAGCTGCTTGACGTACTTCCGAGCATTATCACTTCTAAGGAATCCCAGATCAAAATCATCCGGTGAACCTAGCAGCTGTATTTGGGAACAATCAGCAGTTTTTGTTTATCAATATCACTAACATTAGACTATTACGCCTAAATAGTCCTAGACACAATATTACATGTCGAAATTTGCTATGTCAGACCTATTATACCGGCAAATGCTCGAGAACTTAGGTACCTCAGTTATGAGAGCCAATTGCTGAACATAGTCTCTACCCGGGAAAAGTGGTTCTCTTCTAATAATCTCCATCAAAATGCACCCAACTGACCATATATCAATTGCAGCAGTATACTCTGAACAGTTGAGTAGCAATTCTGGCGCTCGATACCATCGAGTTACCACGTATTCCGTCATGAAATCTGTCTCTGAAGTAGTTCGTGCAAGGCCAAAGTCACAAATCTTAAGGTCACAATTTGCATTGAGAAGCAGGTTGCTTGGTTTCAGATCACGATGCAAGACATTCGCAGAGTGTACGTATTTTAATCCACGCAACAATTGATACAGGAAATACTGCAAAAGGCATTGTAAAAGCGGATTTAGATTAATGACTTGCAGCTTGACATCTCAAAGTTTTATAAACTAAGTGAACAAAGTCATTGGAGTACAAAATTGGGACGAGACAGACCACAACACGCCTCACAAGTGATAATTTGTTGCCTATAACAAGACCCCATGTTTAATATAAAATGCAGATAATAGTCTTAAACAAAATGTCTAGCCAGCATTACCAATTTCTGTAGGACACTAAGCTTCTGAAAGTTGAAGAATACCCTATCTAGATTCCGTGGGAATAACAAGCAGTGTCAAAATCACATGACAGCTGCGTGGTGCCCTGAAAAGGTTATATGGAACTAAAAATGATAATATGTAGGCCTCAATATATCTCTAGATATAGCATAACTAAACCACTTAGGTCCTCTCTAAGGTGCACGGCCAACTCCAAACATAGTTTTGAATGGACTTTGGCATCACCCAATACACATCCCCTTTTACATTAAGGTTTTCTCATAAGCTTTTGGCAAATACAGGCAATTGTTAACGTGAGACCTTAGGCAACTGTAATTGGTTAGGAAGAATGCATAAAAAAACAGCTAAGTAAAAAATGCTATCACAAGGAGGGAAAGAGAATTAGTTACCTGACAATGATCATCTGTCAAAGCCTGGCTAGAGCGGATAATTTGGTGCAAGTCGGTATCCATCAGCTCATATACAATGTAAACATCATTGAACTTCTCCCTCTCTGGTGGCCTTATTATGTCCTTAATTTTGATAACCTGCAAGAAATCAAAAAACAAAAAAGTTCTTACTCATAGCATAACAGGTTAAAGTGGAAATACAAACATCCTTAGCAAAACTTCCTTCACTAAAATTTCCAATAAAAAGAGGGGGCAAAAAAGATTTTCGCATTGCAAAAATTTGTTAAAGAAAGAAGTTAGAGCAGACTATATATAACTAAATGCAATAGGTTCTTGATCTCCAATCAGTACATTTTCATGATCCATATGGCTGAGGAGCTTTATCTCCCGGAGAGTCCTCTTGGCATCAATGCTGTTGTCAAATGCATTTCCAATCTTTTTTATTGCCACTTCCTCTTTCGTCTCCGAATTCGTTGCACAACTGCAGTTGAAAAAAAAAGGAAAAAAATCTTACTAAACAAGGAAAAGCTTGAGATGGGCATAAATATTTACCAAGAAAGCTCTCTCAACTCAACTTCCCAAATCAAATTCACTCAATCATTTAGAATGTAAGCAATTGTATAACATGGATGTTCCTGAATGAGCTAAAAGACCTTATTGAAATTATTGAGCAAAGATAGATTCAAATCATTGATGAATCATTGTTTAAGAGAAATGAAGATAGATAGTAACAGCTTTTATAAAAAAAACAAAAAAAAAAACAAAAAAAACAGACACAAAGGAAAAAAAAAAAGGTCAGAACTTGAACTTCTCATCAAGCGATTCAATCCAATGAAAAATCAACCTCTTTAAACACCCATTTAATTCATTAATTTAAATTTTTAATTTAAATTAAGATATAATTTTGAATAAAAATCTTTTATTATAATAAAAAAATTAAATGTGATTATTTTTTAAAATTTTTTACCGTAACAAAACTTAAATCAATAAAATAAAAATAAAGTTAGGTAATACTAGTCAAAGTTGAATCGGGTATTTTTCCTGTCAAAGAATATTCAAATACCCTACTCTTTTTTTTCCTCTTTTCGGGTCCCATCTTTTCTGGGAATCAAACAGATGTACCAGCTAGAACAGAAACTACATCTAAGGCGAAAAGGGTAGCTAAAAGAGTAAGCAAACGTTCAGATTCCATGAAGCCCAAGTCAAGAAAAACAAAACCCAGAAAAGAAAAATAAAAGGGGAAAAAAAAAACGACATACCAAACGATTCCGTACGCACCGCGACCGACGGGTTGTATAGGAGGGACGTACTTGGCGGAGACATCGAAAAGATTGCCCAGAATGTTGTACTGAACGTACTTTCCTCCGTACGTTGGAACTCCTTTCGCTTCACTCTCCGAATACTCATTCTCGCTCTCCATTTTCTCCGATGACTCTTTGAGAATAAAGTTGAGGGGAAAAAAAAGGTATTTTCCGCTTTCTACTCACCGACTGGACTGTGGATGAAATTGAATGTGCGAGAACAGAGAGAGCCAAAGGCAAAGCTAAAGAAAGAAAGGCCTTTTAAAGTGGCAACGGAAAGAAACTTGTGTTGTGGTGGGTGTCGGTCGGAGGGTCCATTTGGTGGGAATTGAAATTTTATCCTTTACTTTTATTTTTATTTTTGTTTTATTTTTGGTTTGGGTTTGAAACTTTGAAATTTAAACAAAGAAAAGATAGTCTCGTGTTTTGACGAAGCGACTATAAAGACTAATGACCTTATACCTTCCCATTCAAAATGGGTTACTTGGTCACGCAGTTGCGGTCACTGGTCAACCACCCAAATAAATTTTAGCGGGTCACAACATTCTTATATATTGAAAAGAAAAATAGTTTTTATCCCGATAAATCTATCACTCACTATATATTGGTCACGCAGTTGCGCTAATTCAAGTTAAGATGTGATATTATGTGAAAATTTTTTACTGTAATAAAAAATTAGACGTGACTGTTTCTGAAAACTTTTTACTGTAACAAAACTCAAATCAGTGAAAAAACGGGGCCTAGTTTCACTGAGTTAAGTCTCATCTATTCATTTAACACGACTTATTTTTTATGAGTAGCGCAGTTTTAATCCATTAGAATGAATTAGGGTTACTCTATTAAAAAGGTATCTAAAAGTTAAATTAATATTAGAAGCATTTCACCTAGAGGTGTTAATTTAGATTGAATTAAATGGACTGTCTTGAAACTTAACTCAGATCTGAACCCAAATCAGCATGCTTAAATATCCGAAATAAACTAAAGGTTTAAGTCCAAAACATAATCGAGTTAGGTCGACAAGGATTTTTACTTTTATTTCTTTTAAGAAATTACAGTGATTAGGCCACCTTTAAAATCTTTCAAATATTTACTAGTTGTTAGAAATTCATAGGTTATTCTTATTTTTAAACGGTTAGTTTTTCAATTTTAACCTTCTTTATAGGGTTTTTGAACTTGTGGAGGGGGGATTTGAACTCTTCACCTTATGATAGAGTTAGATATGAAATTGTCAGAACCATGATTTTTACAATTTTTTCATCCTCTCATACCATCTTTTCCTCTCTACCATCCACACTGAGTTCTTCCAATAGCGCATATCCTGCTTTATCGTCGAAGATTACTTCATCATTTCCTCTAGTTGCAATAAAAACTTCATTGATGAATCTAGAAAATTCTTATCCCAGGATACCTTTTGGGAAAGGCCTTGGACATTCCCATTTCTCTTTTTCCGTCAAAGCCTCTTACTAGAAATTTTACACATCCAGAACCAAAAATTGGAGATTTACATTCTAATATTCTATCACCAGAAAATTGAAATGAGATGGTAAATTAACAGATTGAACTCGTCGAAATCAATTTTTTATTTTGGAGCTATGCTAGCTGTGATTTTTCTACACAGTTGAGAAGCTTTTTGCTTGTAAACTTTCTATCGCACAGACAACAACAGGGGATCACAACTCAAAAAGGATCGATAGCGAGCACGAGGCCAAGGAGGAGATCGATGGTGAGATTTACGACGATAAAGAGAGTGAGGGGAGAGAGAGGGATAAAGAAGGGGGATAAAGGGTGAGAGCTAGAAAGAAAAGAGAGAGAGGGACATAGAGAAAGGGATAGAGAGTACGAATTCAAAGGGGAGGGAGAGAGCATAATTTTATTATTATATTCAAAGGTTCTTTTGTAATTTTAATTGGATGTAAATGCGGATTTACACTTAATGCATTTTTCAGGGGTATTTTTTAAATTAATCTAAAAACATGGTTAAACGACAATATTTTAGTGTTTACTAAAATTAAAAATAGTAATATTCTTTATGTGATCACTAAAGTATTCTTTGACATAATTAAATAATCATTGGCTATATATTAATTCATTAAGAGTAGATATATAAAAAAAATTGGCATTTATTTTCTTTAAAAGGGAATCAATATCAAAAAAAGGTAATGATTGACATTTTCTATATTATGTGGGGCCCGTTAAATCTCAATTACTGATTTTATAAACAAACATATTATTGAATAGAAAAAAGAATCATAACATTACTCACTTTCCATTTCCCTTTGATGTGAAGTAAAGGCACCCTACAAGTGAAATTTCATCTTTCGTCTTTCATTCATTCATTTATTCAGAAGTTTGTTTTTTGTAGAATTAGGTGATTGCTTAGAATAACACAACTTATATGTAATGCGAAATGGGACAAAACTCATAACTGGCAAAAGACCATGACAACCTCCAAAATTATGAAACACCATTATCATACCTAATTCCTACGTATTCCAAAAAAGCAAACGTTGCCACTTACCAGTGCAAGAAGAGCAAACGTAGATATTGGATGCACGCAAGTTTAAACTGAACTAAACTTCAAAAATTTTCTCAATTGTAATGCCTACGCTTAAAATCTTTTTGTTGTAATTTGTAAACCTCAACCCTTCTTTTTCTAGTAAATCTCAACTTCAATTATTAAAAATCTAATAAGTTTCTTCAATCTTCTATTAATAAATAGTCTTGATAGTTGTTCTTACTCTCACACTTGCAATGCCAACACCGTGAACACTATCGTCGGACCTGTAATTTCATTATTTCAAAACAGTATGCAAAACTGTTGGGAAAACTAATACTAACAATTGCGGAATAAAACTTTCCCTCTTTGTGTGCTAAAATAGGATCTCAAACAAAATACCAACAAAGCCAAACAACCAATGCACCAATTAATCAAAATAATCAACCACAAATGAAACACCAATTTTTAGCGTGAAAAACCTCTCAAATTGAGAGTAAAAATCACGGGACCCTTAGGGCACTTAAATTTCTTCCACTATATTAACAATGGGATTACAAAGTTTCTCTCTAGAATCACACTAAAGGCTCACAACAATAATATCATTAAGAAACACTATTCTTGGTTCACCAACAATATAGACATCATCATCAAAGATTGATAATAACAATAACACCAAAGAAAACCTTATGTCTCACCAAATAGGAGTACTCAAGAGAGTACTAAAGAGAGGCTAAATGAGAAATCAAGTCAGGTAGATTGGAAAAGCTCGCCACAAGGATTCTCCACGTCAAATTTGAGCCGAAACCGACAACATTTCACCACCCAATCGTCTTGCACAAGCACCAAAACCCTACTCATTTTCTCTCTCTCTCTCTTTTTCCTCCCTTATCTTTCTCTGGTTTTCTCTCAGCTGTAACTCACGGCAGCGCTTTTTTTCTTTTGTTAATGCTGCACGTGAGTTAAGCTTGCCAGAGCAAGCTTCTTTCTTCTTTTTTTTCATTGCCATTTGGGCTTAAAGCCCATTACTTGTTCCAGCCCACAAATGGGGCGGAACCCAACAAACTCCCCCTCTGCATCATTTGGTGGGCTCAACTAAGCCTGCTCTCTGCCTACAAGCTTCAAGTTTCTCCTTAGGCAAAGTTTTCGTCAACATATCTGATCCATTCTCACTGGTATGGATCTTCTCTAAGTGTAACTGCTTCCCTTCAAGCACATCACAAATCCAATGATATCTGACATCAATATGATTGGATCTCGAATGGCATGTTGAATTCTTAGAGAGGTGGATGGCACTCTGACTGTCGCTGTAGACAATACGCTTCTCTTGTTGCATGCCCAGTTCTTTAAAAAACCTCTTCATCCACAAAGCTTCCTTGCAACCTTCAGTAATTGCTATGTACTCAGCTTCTGTGGTGGATAGAGCGACACACTTTTGTAGCTTTGACTGCCAAGAAATTAATCCCCATGCAAAAGTCATCAGGAATCCTGAAATAGACTTCCTAAAATCAATGTCACCTGCCATGTCTGAATCTGTGTACCCATCTAAAATAGGCTCACCACTGCCAAAGCATAAACACACCTTAGAAATACCTCTCAGATATCTCAATATCCATTTTACTGTTGCCAGTGTTCTTTTCCAGGATTAGAGAGAAATCGGCTAATAACTCCAACTGCATGAGCAATATCTGGCCTTGTACAGACCATGACATACATCAAACTGCCAACTGCAAACGCATATGGCACTTTTCTCATTTCTTCTTTTTCTTTCTCACTTGTAGGACATTGCTCAACTGTAAGCTTGAAGTGACCTGCAAGTGGAGAACAAATAGCCTTGGCCTTACTCATATTGAATCTTTCAAGAACCTTTTCAATGTAGCTTTCTTGAGATAACCACAACTTCTCATTCTTCCTATCACAGGAGATCTTCATACCAAGTATTTGTTTCGCCGATCCTAAGTCTTTCATGGCAAAAGACTTGCTTAACTCTCTCTTTAGCTTCTCAATCTTGCTAGCATCATGACCAGCAATCAATATATCATCAACATATAGTAGAAGGATAATGAAATCATCATTTGAGTGTTTCTTAATGAACACACAATGGTCAAATGAAGTCCTAGTGTACCCATGACTCATCATGAAAGAGTCAAACTTTTTGTACCACTGTCTTGGTGCTTGTTTGAGCCCATACAAGCTCTTCCTCAACTTGCACACAAGATGCTCTTTTCTTTTAACTTTGAACCCTTCTGGTTGCTCCATAAAAATTTCCTCTTCTAAGTCACCGTGAAGGAACGTAGTTTTCACATTAAGTTGCTCTACCTCTAAATTCAAACGGACAGCTAGACCAAAAATAACTCTGATGGATGACATCTTCACAACAGGAGAAAATATTTCTTCAAAGTCAACACCTTTCTTCTGACCAAACCCCTTCACAACTAACCTCACCTTGTACCTTATTGTGAGCTATTGTTCTCAGTTTTCAACCTACAAACCCACTTGTTCTTGAGCGCTTTCTTGCCTTTAGGTAACTTCACCAAGTTATAAGTGTGGTTCTCACATAAGGATCTCATCTCTTCTTGCATGACTTTAAACCACTTTTACTTCTTCTCATACGAAACAGTTTCTTGGTAAGTTTCTAGCTTTCCCAAATCAGTGAGCATCACATACTCATTAGTAGTGTATCGACTAAGCAGACGACACTCTCTTATAGATCTTCTCACCTGAAACTCAACTGGTGGTGCTGGCGGTGCTTGTTCAACTGGCTCTACATCATCAACTGGAGGGGCTTCATCATTAACAGCATCCCCACCATCTTCCTAGACATCTCCCCCTTGATCAGTATTCTCTACAGGTGGAGAAATTGGATCCAAATTGACAGGAATTT